TCCCTGCTAATGAGAGTTCCTTCAGGAGTAGAAAGGGGAAAATGTTTTTCTATTTAGGATTATGCATCCCTCCCGCTGAAGTCACTTCCTTGTAAATTAGGAGGAAACATTGTTAAGGGCATGAAGAAGCATTTTAATTCACCACTCTGTTGTTGTAGATGAGCACTTATCCTCAGTGTGGTCCCTGAGATCTTTTCAGGCATCTTCAAGGTTTAACTATTTTCACGATTAGCGATTAGGGTATTAAGACGTGACTTGCCTTTTCCACGGTCTCAACACCAGCACGAATGTCGCGAAAGCCTGTTGCTCGGGCACATGATCAAACAGTGGCACCAGCCGCCCGGACACCACTGTGGTCACCACCACTACGCAGTCAGTTAGAAAAACCATTTCACTTAGGGGCGCCTGGGTGGCTCAGTCGGTTAAGCGTCTGCCCTCGGACACGGGCGCCCGGGTGGTGCCATCAGTTAAGCACCTGACTTGGTTTCGGCTCAGGTCGTGATCTCAGGGTCGTGAGATCCAGCCCCGCATCGGGCTCCACGCGCAGCGGGGATTCTGCTTGGACTCTCGTTCCCCCTCTGCCCCTGCCTACCACCTGCTTACTCTCGCTTGCTCTCTCTCAAAAATAAATAAATCTCAAAAAAAAAAGAATGCCTGTGACAAAGCAATCCAAGTTATTAATTTTATTAAATCTCAGTCCTTGTCTTTTTAATATGTTAGATGACAAAATGAGAAGCAAGCATACAGCACGTCTGTTGTGAGAAAAGCGGTTTTCAGGGAGAGACCCCGTACAGCTGTTTGAGGTAGCTACCTTTTCTCATGCAACTTCACAACTCAGACAAACCATGCTTTTTCGGACATGGGTGTTTGGCAGACCTTGTCTTGAAAGTAACTGAACTGTCAGACGGGTGGACAGTATTTATCACTGATCAAATCTGAGCTTTCAAGCAAAAATGAAAGCTTTGGAAAACTGGTATTCTCCCACCATGAGCTTGATGGCATCCCAGTACTTAAAAGATTTTCCTGAAATGATCAGTGGTGATATTTAATAAGTGAATTTTAGCATTCGGAAGATCTGCATAACTCAGTAAACCAATATTTTCCAAGTGACCAATATAAAAGGTGCGCGTGGGTAAAAGATATATATTCAAAGTGCAAGATAAACTGATGGATGTTAATGTTTGACAATCTGAGGAGTTTACTGGTATGGTTTTAGATTCCATATTGCAACTGACTTTTAAGAAACCACAACTTGTTCACTTTTGATGCATATCAAAGAAAAATATCCACAATTATGTTAAAGGGTATTAAATTACTGCACTTTACTGCAAATATCTATTTCTGTGAGGCTGGGTTTTCTTTACATACTCAACCAAAACAATGTATCACAACAGATTGAATGCAGAAGCAGATGGAACCCAGCTGTCTTCTATTAAACCAGATACAAAAAATCTGAAAATTTTTAAACAATCCTACTCTATTTTGTTTTGGAAAATGTTCTTTTCTCAGGAAAAAAAATTATGGTAACATGTAATGGGCTTGTTTATAGTGAATTAATATTTTTTACAATTTTAGACACACACACACACACCTCCAAATAAGAACTTTTGCAGGTCCTCAATAATTTATCAGTGTAACCCCGAAGAGTCAAAGAATCTTGAAAAAGAAGAACAAAGCTGGAGGCATCATGCTCCCTGCTTTCAAACGATATTACAAAGCTACAGTAATCCAAACAGTATGGTACTGGCATAAAAACAGACACACAGATCAATGGAGCAGAACAGAGCGCCCAGAAAGAAACCCACACTTACACGGTCAAGTACTTTACAACAAAGGAGCCATGAATACATAATGGGGAAAATGACAGTCTTTTCAATAAACAGTGTTGGGAAAACTGGACAGCCACATGGAAAAGAATGAAATCGGACCACTATCTTACAGAACACACAAAAATTAACTCAACATGGATTAAATACTTGAATGTAAGAACTGAAACCACAAAACCCCTAAAAGAAAACACAGGTGGTAAGCCAAGTGAAGCCACATCAAACGAAAAAGTTTCCACACAGCAAAGGAAACCACAAACAAAATGAAAAGGCAACCAACTGAATAGGAGATGTTTGCAAATCATATATCTGATAAAGGGTCAATACCCAAAACATATGAAGAACTCCTACAACTTGACAGCAAAATATAATCCAATTAAAAAACAGGCAAAGGACCTGAACAGACATTTTCCCAAAGACCTACAGACGGCCAACAGGTACATGAAAAGATGCTCAACATCACTCAAATCAAAAAGACAGGAAACAAGTATTGGCAAGGATATGCAGAAAAGGGAACCCTCGTGCACTCACTGCTGGTGGGAACATAAATGGGTGCAGCCACTGTGGAAAACAGTATGGGAGTTCCTCAAAAAAGTAAAAATAGAACTACCCTATGACCCAGCAATTCCACCTCTGCATATTTCTCTGAAGAAAATGAAAGCATTAATTTGACAAGATACCTGCACCCTCATGTTCACTGCAGCATTATTTACAAGAGCCAAGACATGGAAACAACCCAAAAGCTCACAGATAGATGAAAGGATAGAGAAAATATATCTATAATGGAATATTACTCAACCACCAAAAAAATCCCCACCCAAATCCTGCCCTTTGCAACCACATGGATAAACCTTGAGGACATTATGTGAAATGAAATAAGTCAGACAGAACAAGATAAATACTGTATGATCTCGCTTCTGTGGAATCTAAGAGCAAACAGAGAAAACCCCAGCATGGGTATAGAGAACAGATGGGTGGATGCCTGAGGTGCGGGATGGGGAGTGGGTGAAATGGGTGCAAGGGGTCAAAGGATACAAGTTTCCAGTTATAAAATGACTAAGTCCTGGGGATGTCACATACGGCACACTGACTAGTTCGTAACAGTGTGCTGCATATTTCAAGGTAGTCAGAGTGGACCTTGGAAGTTACCACAAGGAAAAACATCGCACCTGTGTAGTGATGGATGGCAAGCAGACTTACCAGGGTCATTCTGTACCATCTACAGATACCCAAGCACTACGTCGTACCCCTGAAATTAGTATGTCAATTATAGCTCAGTATAAAAAATTAATCAGTGTAAAGTATCCTGAGACCAAAATGTTAAGAATCACGGCTCTAAATAATACTCCGAATAGCAGACATAGTCAAGCACAGTAACTAAGTAACTCCATCTACACAGAGATGTGTGCTGAGGACGGGTGTCCCTGGATAATGAGATCTGAGAGTACACATTAGTCTGTATTCACTTAGTAAAACCGTACTTTGAACAGTATCACATTAGCCTTCCTCTCGTTAAAGTCGGAAATCTACTCTCCTTCAGGCTGCCTTGGGTTTCGGGAGCCCAGTTCTGAAGCCTCTGAAACTCGAGCTGATGAAAAGGTACACGCAGAGCCTGGGGGAGGCCTCCACGAGCTCCGGGAGTCTGCTTTAGCGACCCCTCACAATCCCCTAGGCAAGCAAGGTGCCCAAAAAACTTCAGGGAAGGAAGGAAAACAAGGCAACTGGTCTCTCGGCCTAGAATCCACTGCCTACCTGTCCCATTTCTGCGCCAGGGAGCCTGAAGTGTTTAGGATCTGACTTTACAGACGCCTCCAGCCGTTCCCAAAGCAAGTAAAGGTCAGATGAAGTGCAGGGCCACGGTCCTGCAGCTAAAAATAATGGAAGGGGAGGAAACAGATCCCGAGGTCTAGAAAACGCTACCCGTTGCCTTCTCTGCAAGGGCCCCAGTCAGGCTGCGCTGCCCCACCCACCCCAGGCCAGGCTCACTTTTTTTCCCTGTTTCTGGCTCATCGGTGACTATCCAGAGCTGAGTAAGAAAAAAACAGGGTAGGGGCGCCTGGAGGGCTCAGTCGGTTACGTGGCCGACTCTTGATATCGGCTCAGGTCGTGATCTCAGGGTCATGGGGCTCCACACTCAGTGGGGGGCTGTGCTTGAGATTCTCTCTCTCCCTCTGCACCTCCCTGCCGCTAGCATTCTCTCTCTCAAATAAATCTTCAAAATAAAAAAAAAAGAAAAGAAAAGAAAAAGAAACAGTAGAACACAACGGGTTGGTGACTATATCTGCTTTCCTTCCCGCCCACCCACACTTGTCTTGCATTGGCCAAAAACCATTCACTACACTTTTCCGTGGGTTTCATAGATCAGTGACTCAAAATGCTACCACTCGTTAGTGTGGCTGGAATAATTTATGGAGCAGAAGCTCCCAGGAGTTTCCTCACTCTCGCAAGTTGTGCATTTTCTGTCCTGTCCTCATAGACACATTTATGCAAAGCTGGCTGAGCAGACACGGGACCGAACCAGGGGAATGGGGTTAGCATCCCTCACGATGTTTTTATTTCTGTATCACCGAGTTCCCAACTCACTGTCTAGCATAACACAGGGATGAAGAACTCGAGTACAATTTTCTATTTTCCTTTGCTAAAATAAAAGCTTATATATTTAGTTCGCCCCAAGTCAAGGCTCAGATACCAGGGAGACTGTTGTTGCGTTAGGAAAAATAATCACTATCTCCAGGCCTTGAGATGCAACTTTCATTTCTTCTGGAAAAGCTAAGCTGAAAAAATGAATTTCCCTCAAAAAGAGTTCAGGCAAAAGACCATCTCAGACAGACAAAGGAACTTTTTACATCACAACAGGATGGAAGAGGCACGCTCCTGAAAAATCTAAGGAGAAAACCAGATTGCATGCTTTGTGATTAGAAGCAGGAGATATTTTCTGCAACTAGAAGATGGTTTACTGGGCGCCTGGGTGGCTCAGTCATTAAGCGTCTGCCTTCGGCTCAGGTCATGGTCCCAGGGTCCTGGGATCAAGCCCTGCATCAGGCTCCCTGCTCAATGGGAAGCCTGCTTCTCCCTCTCCCTCTCCCCCTGCTTGTGTTCCCTCTCTCGCTGTGTCTCTGTCAAGTAAATAAAATCTTTTAAAAAAAAAAAAAAAGAAGAAGATGGTTTACTTACAAGGTCCTTCGTAGGGTTTCTAACTCGGAAGAAGTAAACGACTAAGGTGGTGGGTAAGAGCTCCCACACAAAAAGGACCACTCCAAATACCACGTATCCAGCATCTCCCAGCTGATTCTTCAGATCCGCCTGTTGAGAAGCAAGGGGAGGACCTGGAGTCAGCAGGCTGAGAGTGGAGGGAAGAAGTTTTGCTGTGATTCTTCCTAACATGCACAGAGACTAATTCTAATACAGTGTGATTCCTCCCCCCTACAACATGCATGTTGAAATCAGGTAATACTCATGGTCAGGACCTCAGGAGGGGAGTTATTCCAACCACACAGGGCAGATAATTCTCATCTTCAAAACAGTCAAAGACAGGAACTGCCAATCTCTGATGTTTATTACTTCACCCTCCAAAACCTTCCTTATATCCAAGTTAAGTCTCTCAAATTTAAGTTTTCTTTCCTTCAACAATCAAATAAAGGAGATGTTAGGTCACTCCCTCCCAAATTTTTGAGAACAGCATAGAACCGTGACCCTCTGTCTCATCCCTGGGATAAACACATCAATTTTAAACTTCTCTTCCCATTCTCCACATCCTATTCTTTATCCTTTAAAGCTTGTTGCAGGCGAGATCGTCTGGAAAAAAAGCTGTTCGGAGCCAGGATGTTTGTCTGGACCAGTGGGATGGCTGAATGGGCCTTGCGTGTCGTCTGTCCCCCTCCTGCAGGGCCCGGGGCTCAGGGCGCAGGTGCACAGTCACGTCTGGGCAGCTCTCCCACAAAGGGCAGCATTTCGAACAAAGTGCACCAAAAATGAAGCCATGAAGGGCCGATCACCTCAACGGAGTCCTTTTGCCTTCTCTAGGGCATCGTGTTTGCAGGGCAGTAGCCAGAGCTGATCAGGCCGCTCCAGGACGCCGCCTCCCCAACTCCGCACCTCGCACCCCATCTCTAACTCAGCCCAGCAGCACGCTGTCCTTCTTCACTTCTACACGGACAACGTGCTGCTCGTGGCCGCCTGTTAGGTTTGCTCCTAGGTTATTTTGGTTGACACACACAGGTCTAGATAGTCATAAATAAATATTCCCCCGCTAAAAACAAAAATTTAAAAATTGTGTTATTTTAAATGTGTTATCATTATAAGCCCTCAGCTGAAAGAAACACGGAAATAATTATTTTGTTAAAACCTAACCTCTCGTTTGATGGGTACGGAGGAGTTTCAGTTTGGGAAGATGAGCACGTTCTGGAGACAGCCGGCAGTGATGGATGCCCAGCAAGAGGACCGTACGCTTGAAAGTGGTTACGACAGTAGCTGTGATGGGTATTTTACTGCAATGAAATCCTTCGGGTCTTATGAATAAGTCTCTAATGTATTGTTTCAAGTTTTGATTTTTATATATTTGATTTTCTCAAAACAGGGCACACCACCTTCGGCAGTGCCTTGCCCGAATTTCTCCCATCCTGTACGGGTGGGATCGGTTTGGGTGGTGGTGGTGGTGGTGGTTTTAATCCTTCCTAACTCTAACACCTTCCCCGTGCCCCTTCTGGATTTCGCCTTGTCCTCACATGTTTATCGGGGTCATTTAATGCCTTCTTCTAGAGTGTGACTCCAGTCCAGGGTGTGATCACTGCTGGGATTTTAGAAGTGTGTTTGTATATAGTTGAGCATTCAGCATTTTTCCAGGAAAAGTTAAGGAGCTTTTTGCAATTCAATCCAGTAGACGCCTATCATAAAACAGAAGTTCTGTTTATTGTAATAGCTTACTTGTGTGTCTGTTTTCCTCAGGGGACAGAAACTGCTGTGGGCAGGGGGGCAGCCTGTGCGTGTTTGTCCCCCCAGCACTCGGTCCAGCGTGACAGAGAATCGCTGTTTCTCAACTGAGAGGATGTCACCTCATTCTCATTCTTTTTTATTTTCAGCTTTTGGGAACAAGAATGCCAGATGATATGTCACTACCTTTGTTCACTGCTTTGTAATTGATAATTCATGAGTTTCTAGAATATATTAAATGGGAGAGAGTATCATAGGGACACCATTGGTAAAATGAGCTTTTACCAACACCTTCATCCCCTGGTCATTTTTGTCTCAATTTCCTCAAATGCTGTCTCCATGCTCCATTTTAAAAAAGCCACAGTTTTAGGAGCATCTGGGTGGCTCAGCTGGTGAACTGTCTGCTTTCAGCTCAGGTCATGGTCACGGGGTCCTGGGATTGAGTCCCAGGTCCGGCTCCCTGCCCAGCGGGGAAGTCTGCTTCTCCCTCTACCCCTCCCCCCTGCTTGTGATCTCTCTCTCTCTCTGACAAATAAAATCTTAAAATAGATAAATAAATAAAAGCCACAGCTTTATGTATTTTCTGAAACCTGCATACAATCTGTTTTACCTTGGCAAATTTCACCCTTTAATAAAGCCATCTTACATTTATATGGAAACACTTAAAACCTTTCTAAGTACTGCTTGTCAAGAGAGCCCCAGAAACTAGAAGTATGTGTGCACGTCCACATGTACACCTAGACGCTAGTTCTCTCAGAACACGTGAACTGGAGCAAGGCAGGTACTATGATCCCATTTGACAGATGAGGATGCAGATACCACACAGGTAAGTGATGGTCAAGGTCACCCAGCAACTGAGCAGCAGAAGCGAAGAGCTAATACCTCTCGGTCACATGGGGTGCTGCGAAGCAAAGAGTCGCTGCTCAGGGTGCCCACTGACCTGGTCTGATACGTTGTACCAGTCGTAATCAAAGGAATGGACGTTCTTGCTCTGGGAGAACGACAGGATGAACAGGTTGTAGCAGGCTCGGGAGGTGTAAAGCAGGATGATGGTCACTCCGACAGCTGTCACTTGACACACAGAGGAGCCCTGGAAAACAGGGAGCCATGAAGGGGGCACCCATTCCAGGTCTAAGACACCAGCCTCGTCCCAGAACCCGGCCTGGGTTCAGAGCTCATAAACCCACGCCCAAGCCTCACCTCATCCCACAGCCCCTCCTCAAATGTCAAATGATCTTCATACACACGCTTCAAAATCTGGGAGTTGATTTGGAGATGCCTTAAAATGTGGGCCATTGGCCTAAAGCCCAGGTTTGTAAGAATGAGAAAGTCAGGTGCTATTCAACCTCCAAGATGACCCCCTGACTTAAGAGCCCACTGCCCAGCCTCTGGCCTGGGGACAACTGAGCCCAGCAGGATGGCACCTGGGAGAGTGGGGTCCCGCAGACCGTGGCCCCGGGGAAGGGAGCGCTTCCTCAAATTCCAGAATCTTCTAGGCTGGAAGCACTGGAATTCCAGTATCACTCCAGACTTGGAATTACATGGAAATCGGTGATTTGTCCCATTTATGAAGCTACCAATTTACAGTCAAAGGGCCCCTAGCAAGAAACTTATAGTTAACGTGACCAAAAAACTGAAACTGATTTTTGAAATTTGACTTTGGAAGTCACTCATTAACCAGGTATTATTTTATTTTGTCAGTAGCAGTTTAATAGCTTGTTTGCCACAGGGGTGATCTAAATGGTCATTTGGCAGCTGAAATGTAACCCTTCCTGTAAAAACCATGATTCTGTTTTTAAAAGCCCGGGATAGCCCTCACATGGGAGACAATATAAACAAGAAAAAGTTAAGGCAAAATCCAGTCAAAAATCTGTCAAAACTCAACAATGAACAAACTACTCCTGCCATACTCAAGTCTCATGGGACCTTGCAGAGGTCAGCCAGATCTCGGATGCCTCACTAAGGCTTGGTGTTTCTGAAGTCAGAGGCCCAGATTTTAGTCTACTGGTCACCACTGAAGACACGATATCATGGGAGACGGAGCTCCTCATGGTCTTCAGACGGAAGACTGATTACAGCCAGGTGGGCCGAGTGGCAAATAAGGCAGACGGTGGAGCGGCGGGGGGGAGGGGGGGGTCCTGCCAGTCAGGGGGGTCCACCACAGGACACGGTTCCAGAAGGTTAGAAGCAGAGGAGTTACAGAAATCACTCAATCATTGCACAAGTGAGAAAACCAAGGCCCCCTCCTAGGCCTCCACACTTCCCTGGGCTTCCCAACCAAGGGAGACTTGGGATGAGGCCGAGCAGGGCCCACGAGCGTGTCTGCCCTTCCCTATAACTCCGGGGAAGGGCAGAGAGAACAGAGATTCTAGGGTGTGCAGCAGAGCAGCAAACCAAACTTGCCTCCCATCCCGTCTGGCTCCATCTCTGACCCATCAGCAGGAGATGCTTGCTGTCCTGAACTCCAGGGGGCAGTGTCCACTGTCCTGTCACAGGATCATCAGTGCCGAGGTGAGCCTCCATCTGAATCTGACGGAGCCTGCGGCCAGACTGCCCAGCCCGAAGCTGGGCTCTCCACCCACGGGCTGCAGAGGGCAAGCCAGGGCGAGCTGTGCCCCGGTCTCCCGGTCTGTACAGTGGGTAGGATACCTACTCCCGGGGATCTGGGAGGACTCCCTGAGCTTATGCACGCCGAATGCTGATCTCAAAGTGCCTGGAACACAGCGCACGCCAGGCGTGTGTTTCTGCCAGTATCACCACAAGCAATCCTGCGAGTCCTTTAAAATGGTGGCTAAACACTGTATCTATAAACCGGAGATTACCCCCCTGCCGGTAATTCTGCACACTGCAATACACCTGCAGCCACCTCGAAGGAACTCTTCTTGCGTGCAAAGTTCAACGAGCTACCTAGCTCTGTGTTTGGGCAACCAGAGTACGGCCAATCGTTTGTGGCGGGTCAGGTGTGAAAGGTATTTGCTGAGTTTTGTTGGCAACCAGGAAACTACTTTTATAGTCAGTTTAACCAAGGGCTCTTGACCACATTCCCACCTACCTTTGACTCCAAGTAAATGTTGGCTAAGGACATCTTGGAGATTTTGTAGAGACAGATGGAGAGAGAGACGGCACACAGCACAAAGAGGGTGTCGTTAATGGCCACGCGAACAGAGACAATGACCTCCCTCTCCCAGTTTCCTGTCTTCACCAGCACCGCGCAGGTTACATTCACCAACAGGAACACGAGGCTGATGAAGAGCGAGGCCAGGTAGAGGGGTAACCTAGAAAGGACCAGAGAGAAATGTAAGGCACAGCGCCCTACAGGCTGGCTGTACGTTCTGGATCAATCCAGAAGGAAAATGCGGTATTTTTTTGGTTAACTGCTAGAAGCAGAACATGCCACAGTTAACACCCAAGAGTGCAGATTTTGGAGGTAGCCGTTCTCAGATTCAGATGACAAATCAGCTACAAACAGTGCCCTCAGGAAGGTGCCCTCTGAGCCTCGCCTGTCCTCTCTCCGGGAGGTGGTGCAGATCTGCCACAGCCCCTTGCCCAAGGCTGAACGGAGGCAAGCTGGCCGGGTCCCTGGCCATTTTTAACCTGTAGATTCCCGGAGCCACATACTTCTTTAGTGACTGGTGCAAGGTCTATAGAAAGACTTCTCAGACTGACTAAAACCAAAGTCAGCAGCCTCAAGCTTCTCTTCAGGACTGTCCATATTGTTTACTTCCTTCAATAAACATGCAAATAAGGAACAGATTTGCTTGGCTCAAAAATAGACTGGGTCTAAGCTGACTACATTTTAAATCCAAAAGATGAAAACTCTCAACTATAAGTGGTTTTGAAGCTAGAGAGTGTCTTCCAAAGCTGCATAAAGGGCACCGGGGTGGCTCAGTCATTAAGCATCTGCCTTCAGCTCAGGTCATGATACCAGGGTCCTGGGATCGAGCCCTGCATCGGGCTCCCTGCTCAGCGGGCAGTCTGCTTCTCCCTCTTCCTCTGACCCCCTCCTCGCGCTTGTGCTCTCTCTCTCCTTTTCTCTCTCAAATAAATAAATAAATAAAAATCTTTAAAAAAAAAAAAAAAAAGAATCCTGGATGATAATCCCAGCTCCAGACGTCATCACTGACAGGACCCATGGAGGGGGGTACACAGGGAGAAAGACAACGTGTAAGTGAAGGGTGAAGAAGCCAGGCATAACTCAAAACCGACCAAGTGGCACCCACGACAGCTAGTATGATGTGGCTCAAGCCTCCATCCCACACTCCTTCCTTCTCCTCCCCACCTGCCCTCATCTGCCCTGTGCGACCCAGAGACACACAGAGCCGAGACATCAGGCCAGTCTCTCGGCCACTCTGGGCTGCGTGTCCTTATCCATAAAAGAGAGATGAGGACTCTCATCTTACCTCAAAGAGTGGCGGTGAGAATCCAGTGGGTCCTGTGCCTTCTTGTTATGCCTCTGTCCTCACCCCACAGAGCCTTGAGGTCTCACCCCTGCTTCCCCTTTTGTCAACAGCAACTTCTACAAAGTCTTCACCTCATCCCGTCATTCCTTCCTCCACAGGAACTCCCCTGCTGACCCCACGTTCTCCCAGGCCCCCATGACCTACTCCCAAATGGAAAGGGGTCAACTCTTGGCCGCCATCTTTGCCCGCCTTCCTGGAGCTCCCTTGTCCATCGCTCCACAGCCCTGCGCCTGCACCCTGTTCCTCTGTCTGAGCTTGCCCCTGGTTCCTCTTCCTCCCCCAAAGTGACAACACCCTTGGCTCTCTCCTCTACCCCCTGGGAAATATGCTTACTCTTGCAGGTTCAGTTACAGCCTCGGACGCCTAAGTTCATGAAGCTCATCTTGAGCTGTCGCCCTGTCCTACAGCCAGACTCACGTTCCAAACAGCCTGCCATGGAGGCCCTGCCACCTCAGACCATGTCCAAGCCTAACTCCCGATGTTCCCCCTCCAGCACTCCTCTTGGTTTTCCTATTTCTCTGAAAGGCACCACAACTTTTTGTAGACTCCTAAACTCTAAAGATCTCTTTGATTGCACCCCCAGCTTAATCAGTTGTCAAGTTCAACAGATTCTTTATTCCTACTTCCCTAGTTGTGAGCCCCCTTTCCCATCGTCACCAACCACAGGGCCTCATGCTTCTGCCTAAAACCAATGTGATGGTGTCCAGACTGACCGCCACCCTCAACCCCACCCTGGCACCCTCCAATCCCTTATACTTCCAATCAGTCTACGGAGCCAGGTCAATCGATGGGCGCCCCACATGCTAATTAAGCCAGTCTATGTGCTGGCCTGAAGCCCATCCCTGTGTCCCCCCCCCCCGTCTTTACACAAGCTGATCTTTCTGCCTAAAACTTTCCTGCCCCTCCATTTCGATCCCATCCTGTTCTGCAAGCCTCTAGGACCACCTGCTAAACAGAATTCTGTCCGATATTTTTAGGATTTTATTTATTTTATTTATTTATTTATTTATTTATTTTATTTAAGCAGATGGGCGTGCGCACACACAAAAGCAGGGGGAGAGGCAGAGAGAGAAGAGAAGCAGCTTCCCTGCTGAGCAGGGAGCCTGACGACGACATGGGGCTCAATCCCAGGACCCCGGGATCACGACCTGAGCTGAACTACATGGTATTGTCTTAAAGAAATTGGCCGTGTTGTGAGACTTGAAACAATATGGGCAAAGTACTTGTAATCCAACATTAAGGTCAAAGTCAGAAAGCAAAATCATAAATGTGGCAGAACAACTCTGCTCTGGGAAATGGATACAAAAACCTATGATGGAAAACATCACTGTGTCTCCTCAGAGTTGGAGGAGGATTCTGTGGGGCAGGAGGGGGGAGTTCACTAGATTTGGTTTCTTTCTTTCCACACGTCTATATTCACAAACTTCCAATCTTTTTCTATTTTATAATTTTTTCTAATAAGCTTATGTAACTTTTATAATGAAAAAAAAAAATACCTTGCAAAACTTAACTTTTCCCCCTGGGCCTGCAGCTCTGGGAGAGAGAGAGAGATTTGGAGATGTGGAGAGCGAGCGGGCTGGGGGGGGGGGGGGGGGCGGTGCAGAACAGATCATATCGCAAGGGTGCGTTTCCATGGCAATAGCGTTTTACACCCTGCCCCAGAATTACTTCTTCTCAGCTCAAACCACAGGGTCAGGATAAACAGTTTATAATGAGAAAAAAAGACCAACGGAAAAGGAAATCGGTGGGACCCTGCATCTGGGAAGATGACTTTGCTTGTGAGCCCAGAAGGATCGGCAAGCGCAGAGATGAGTCTCTAAGGCAGCTGACCACACGGGGCTGGGGACAGAAGTGCCAGGCTTGCGGGCTGCCAGCTAACTCGACACAGAAGAACTCTGCTACCTCCCACGGTGAGGGGATAGTATTAATGGCTTATAAAGCATTGTTTAAATTTCTCTTCTGAGATCTTAGATTCCTTCCAGAACGGAAAAGCAAAGCCCAGTTCTCATTATGCTTTTTACTCACTAAAAAAATCAAAGATGGAGGGAAAACAGTTAAAAATGCTTAAAATCAGTGTTCTTGAGCTCCCCCTGCCCAGTATTCACACTTCCTAAGCCAAAGATTGAAAAATATAGGCTGAGAAAGAGAAAAACTGAGTCAAATGAGTACCAACTCCAGCAAAGCTGAGAGCTCACAGGTGTGTCAGGGAAAGGGGGGACTTCAGTGGAAAATGAAGTGGTTCTTGGTTGGGCTGAATATAAATCATCTTCAAAAACATGGAGCAGCTATAGGAGGAGCTTGGGGTGAGAAGTTTCGACTAGTTCTAGACTGATGGTTTGTGTTTCTTTTCAGATGAGTTGTGGTTCAATTAGGGAAGCCGGTCTATTTAGAAGCCAACATACCAAAGAATCTCAAGGGATAAATCATGGCCTGAAATGTTTGCTGTAGCATCTGGCTTAAGAGAAGTGGGGAACTGAACAGAGAAGACAGAAGATGGGCGTAAACACGAAGAACTCTGAGGATTTCTTCATTATTACATCGGAGTTAATAGGATCCTCCCATTGGTACCTCACCCTCCTGGCTTCGAGAAACTCTTCTACCTTCTCCGGCCCGAACATCTCATCCAACTGAATTTCTCCTGGTCTTCTCCCTTCGTCTCTGCAAATCCTCTCCCACTAAAAACAGCCTATCTTGGGTGTCTGCACTTTGGTTCAAGGATCAAGCACTGCCCCACGCACACACCTTCTCATCTAAGAGACCCCATCCCCCAAGGGCTCAGAGGCTGAAAACTTTTGAAACAGTCTTCCTTTCTGACCAGTGCTTTCGTATTTCACTTCTAGAAGATACCACATTACCTCAGCCTCAACCAACCACTTCCAAGACAAGACCAGCTCCATGATCCAATCAGAATATTCTTCCTCCTCCCCAATCTTCACCCATTTTTGGCTCCCCAGTCCCCCTGTTTGATCTACATTTCTAGTCAAGAGGCTGGAGGTAGAGATTATGGGTACGGAGGAAAGGCCAGCTATTTTGTTACCAGAGAAGGGAGAGGATCGCGTACTTGGAACCGCTCCTTTAAAGGGTTCTCCTTAGGGCCAACATTTTTCTTGGTGGACCCTGAAGTCCCAGTTGAGTAGTCTGGTAGAACCATACACCAAACTACCCAAAAAGTAATGAACAAAGACTTCAAGATCAGATGAGAAAAACAAACATGGCACCATCAGTCTCATGACTTGTCTCTTGGCCTGAGTATTGTCATATTACTTTCTGAATTTCAGTTTCCTTGGATATCAAATGGAGATCAAAATATACATTTTCATGATCTTAAAAGTTCTCATCACAGGAAACAACAATTTTTGTAACCATGTATGTTATAATGGATGTTAACTAGACTTACTGAAGTGATCATTTTGCAATATACACCAATATCAAATCATTCTGTGGGGTACCTGAAACTAATATATTGTTATATGTCAGTTTTATCTGGAGAAAAATACGCTTTCAGAACTTTATTTTTTTTAAAGGTTTTACTTATCTGAAGGGGGGAGAACGCACAAGCAGGGCGAGTGGCAGGCAGAGGGAGAGGGAGAAGCAGGCTCCCCACTGAGCAGAGAGCTCGACGTGGGGCTCGATCCCAGGACACTGGGATCATGACCTGAGCTGAAAGCAGATGCTTAACCAACTGAGCCACCCAGGTGCCCCACTTTCAGAATTTTAAATAATAAATGTTTATAAATTTAAAATTATATATTTAAATAAAATACAATATGCATACATTTTTACATATTTTTAAAATCACGAAAGAATCAAATTTTCATTTTGATTCACGAAGGTAAGTGGCTAAAATCGCCTTTCCAGAAATGTCTGCCCATGCATGCCATTGGAGCTCTCCTCAGCAGGGACATCAGAACACCGTGTACCTGCCCCATGTCTTCTGAATGCCTTGTCTCCCCTTCCCCTCTGATCAAATCTGACCAATCTTTAAGCCACTGGTTTCTCTGCTCTTGAGGGTGCTGGGGTCACAGACATCTGAAAATGTGGGGAAATCTATGAACCGTCTCCACAGGAAAAACATGCCTATCCACCTCTTCTTATAAACTTGGCATGTGATTTAAGGCATTCCCTTCCAGATTATGAGCCTCTCCTTTCAGCCCGGCACGGACTGACTTCTTCCACAAAATTCCTGGGACTCTCAACGGTACACAGCAGCCCGGGGCAGAGATTGCTCATTCCGTGAGTGGTTGTGTTGTTTAGGACATCTTTACAGAGTGTTTGCTCAAGGACACAGACTACATTTCTGCTTCAGGGTGCCTAACCTGAGTCTTAAATAGTCAAAAATATATCTGCCAAATGAGGATGGAAATCCCCCCCCGCCCAGGGTACTTACCGGTATTTGAGTAATTCTGGAGAATATTTTGACTTGGCTTTGAAAATCACCTGCAATGACAGAACAACATGGGGGTTGGGGATATAGTATACTGTCACCAACAAACCAACATCATCACTCGGAACTCCTCTTTCCCTTTATACCCAGGTGCCAGGGCCCATGTTCGAAACTGAGATGTCTGCTTTGTCAGAATGTTTGTTAAGCTAAAGATTTTCCAAGCTATCCACACAATTTCCAAAGTAAAGATATTTTAAAATGATGAAAATGGTTAAAAAAGGAAAAAATAAAAGTATTACTGGTCTACCACTGCCAAGTATTTCTCTTATAAGATTCGTATTTGAACCCGTATTTCCCTTAAAGATCAACAGTCTGCCCTCACCCTTTCTTAGAATTTTCACTGGCACCAAATTCATGTTGTTTGAATGTAAGCGTCCACCTACCCAGGCCTCAAATTCTGCAGCCCACTTTCAATGTCTCCGGGCTATAGAAGCATCAGACGACCATTATCTATAGGAGAAATGTCACGTGTTGGAATTTCTCCACATCTTTTGTGTCCTGCACCATTGCTAACGTGTCCACGCAGGGTGCAGCGGCCGGCCTGGCAGAGCCTCTGAGAAGGCGAAGAGGGGAGAGAAGGTAGGCAGCAGCTCACGCTCCAGCCCCAACTGTGACATGGCCACTAGGCCCACAGCGCATGCACACGGGGGCTCCTGAGGCAAGCGCAGGTGCCCACAGGAGTGCTGGGGGCCTGGCTGGGGAACTGGGATGGGGTAAGGTACATGTGCTCATGCTTGTGCTCTCCTGGATCCCTGGTGTCCATGGGGCGGGGGCACCACTGGGAGAAGGGCGATGCCCTTGCTGTGGATGCTATCGGGACCTTCATCCCCTGCTGCCCACAAGCCCTCGGCATGGAGATCCGAAAGCTGCCCCAAGCCTCAGCCTGGCCTGCTGGCCCTCTCGGTCCCGCCTCTCCCCACCAACCCCTCACATGCTCTCCTGCTTCTCAGCTCTCTTTGCATTTGGTGCTTCTCCCAGGTTTTGCTCAGCCCCTGAAAATATCTAAGGAGCAGATACATTGCCTGAGCTGGATAGAGTAAAAGACAAGGGAGAACAGGGTAAGCATGATTCCTGGGGGAGGGGAGGAGAGAACAGGCAGCTCTGGGACCTCTGAGGCCACCCAGGGGTTAAATATTGTTGCCCCCTTGCCTGAGGAAGATGCAGTGAGAAATCCGTGCAAGAAGGATATCTGAAAGTAACCCCAGGAAATTCTTCAGCAGATCCCAAGTACGTGGCTAAGTGCGCTGATGCAGATGCACAAGGGAGCCTTCACGGGGACTGTATGGGTCAGTTCCCAGAATACATATGCAACAGGAGAAGCCATTTCCCTCTGGGAGCTTTCTAAAAGGCATTCTTCTGAGGACCCTCAGTAGATAATTCTCAGACTTACATGTGCATGAGGCCCACTGTGGAAAACAGTATGGAGAGCCTTCAAAACACATAAAAAAAAGAAATACCATACGATCTGGTAATTCCACCACTGGGTATTTACCCAAAGAAAACAAAAACACTAATTTGAAAAGATATCTGCACCCCTATGTTCACTGCAGCATTATTTCCAACAGCCAAGATATAGAAGCAACCTAAGTGTCCCCTGACAGATAAACGGATAAAGACGACGGTATGTATATACAATGGAATATTAATTGGTCTTAAAAAAAGAATGAGATCTTGCCATTTGTGACAACGTGGTTGGACATATGGTGTATTATGCTAAGTGAGATAAGTCAGAGAAAGACAACTACCATATGATTTCATATAGATGTGCAATCTGAGAAAACAGAACAAAACAAACAAACAGACTCTGAAATGCAGGAAAATGGTGGTGGCCAGAGGAGAGGTGGGTGCGGGGCTGGGCAAAATAGGTGAAGCGGATTAAGAGGTACAAACTCTCAGTTATAGAATAAATAAGTCACAAAGATGAGAAGTACAGCATAGGGAAGATATTCAGTATTGTAATCACGTGGTATGGTGACAGGTGGTGACTGCACTCATCACGGTGAGCACTGAGTAATGTATAGACTTGTCCAATCACTATGTTGTACACCTAAAATTCTTAACAACACTGTGTGTCAATTATACTTCCATTAAAAGAGAAAAAAAAAAAAAAAGAATCACCCGGGCAACTTGCTAAAGATGCAATCTCCTTCAGAGGGGCCAACCCCGTGGGTCTGGGGAGGAGCCCAGGAATCTGCAAGTTAATAAATTCCCTGGCCCAGGTGATTCTGATTCAGCTAGTCCAAGGACCACCTCTTGAGAAATATTGCTCCTCTTGACTAGCTTTGCAATCATTCATTTAAAACACGCTGAAAGAGGCAATCACAATGATCAGTGGACACAGAGAGTCAGGGCACAGTGCAAAGAACAGAGATCGGGGGACGCTCGAGGTCCCCGGACAGCCCCCCAGACACACACACTCCTGCCGTCCCTCCGACGTCCAGTAATGCGCTGCCACTGGGGGACTCCCAGAAACAGACTCCTGGGGAGGGGGAAGCACAGAGATTCCCACAGACTTCACAGGAAGCAAATCTACCAAGCTTCACAGGTAAGCATTCTGAACTTAGAAATGATTTTGTTTCTGACATGGGTTCTGTATCTGTCTTAAATTGTTTTTGGAAGGAAGGAGGGGTTGACATCACAAATAAATTGAAATAAGACAAACAGGGGACAAAAGACACTGCCCTTACTCTAAAGGGATCCTGAGTCCAGCTTTACCTGACAATCTCCCCTGGGATTTTAGGCAAGTCTCATCACCTTTGGTGTTTCTCTGCAGCCCATAAGGAGAAATGTTACAAAACAACCACTCTTAGGAATAAGGAACAGATTAATACATGACTCCAAAGTTTTGCTACAAAATATGACTGATTCACACAACACAGAACAACAGTTTCAGAAAAATCCTTCTTAAATAGTACTTGGGGACCTCACTTTTAATAATTCTTGTTTTAAAATTTTAGTAATTCTTAATTAGGAATTCACAGATACCGGATGCCTGAGTGGCTCAGTCAGTAAAGCATCTGCCTTCAGCTCAGGTCATGATCCCGGGGTCCTGAGATCGAGCCCCACATCGGGCTCCCTGCTCGGCGGGAAACCTGCTTCTCCCTCTCCCACTCCCCCTGCTTGTGCTCTCTTTCTCAAATAAATAAAATCTTAAATAAAAAAAAAGAATTCACAGATTTCAAAGTGTAGAGAAGAAACTACAGTATTTTAAAAAAGTGCTTAACCTTGTCAATACCCAAATATTTTTAATGTTGTGCCACACTTAGGGGGCTTGGTTGGTAGCAGGTAACCTCAGCCGGAGTGACTTAGGTTACTCATTCACACCAGGCACAGCCCAAGGGCACTCCATGGGACAGCATCCCCCAGACGGGGCATGAGGTGGTCCCATCCTGTGGACTCGGCTCTGTGCAAAGCGCTGGCAGGACTAAGAGAAAAATATGAGCAGTCCTGCCTTCAACAGGCTTACAGCCGGAGAGGAGAGACCCAGAGGACACAAGATGGGATGCAGACCAGAAAGGCTCCAGCCTCAGCTGGTCCAAGCTCAGGCAGCGAGCAGGTGAGCAAGCCATGGGCTCTGCCTCGTGGTGGGCACATCGGCCTCCTCTGCTCCCCAGCCCCGTCCTGCCGCCCTCTGGCACTTGCAGCTCCTGGTGGCAGGGAGAAGTATGGGTGGATCAGGGTCAAGTCATGGCGAATCAGGCTCCCTGCTTGCTACCCCCACCTGCCCGTGCTGGGTCTTCAGGGCCGGGATGTGCAGAACGAAAGACCCAGCCAAGAGCTGAGGAAGGAGGGAAACACAACCCACCTAGTCACCTTCTTTATAAACCCAACAACAGACACTTGTTGACTTCCTGCAGCCCCTGGCCTCTGCAGCTCATCTGCACACGTTGGGCTGGGAGTGGACTGAACAGAGGCAGGTGTGGGAGGATGGCGTCCAAGGCCAGCCTGGACCCAGGACACCCTTCCCGGAACATGGTGAAGGATGGGGTTCCCAGCCGTGACTGTCAAATGTTGGGTCTAGTATTGCAGCCATCTAAGCAACCCCATGCTTTGTTCCAACACTTCCACTTCTACAAATTTATTCTGAGGCAGGGCTTCTCAAGGTGTTCCCACAGAATTGAGAACTAATCAATGTTACTGGAAATAAGCCTCATGTGATCAAATACATTTAGAAACTGTTAAGCTAAACGGTTTTTCCCTGCAGGAATTTCCCAGTCTCGAAAAGACTAATACCTGTTGTAAATCTTCAAGCAAAACATACGGCATGCAGTTTTCCAAACTTACTTGGCCTCTTATGGTCTTCTGAGTGTTCCGGGGCACAGAGTTTGGGAAACACTGCCCTACGCACCAAGCATGGATGGACACTGTTCACCGCAGCCTTAGTAAGACTCACGGTAATTATAACACAACAAACAAGAAGGAGAACTTTAAAATGATATTCAGACCCCCCCCCCGCGCCCCTTACACGGGGCCACCAGCCATGCAGCACACAGAGCTCGAGGGGCCCACGGGTGAGGCGTCCCACCCTGAGGGGGGCCCTGGGCCCCACCCCGCCGAGCTCAAACTCATCCCTGCCTGGAGGGGAAAAGTCATCACCAGGGAAAGGCACAATCTGATGGTCAGTAAATCATTTGATCCTCTCGAAACTAAAAGCCAAGGTGATAACCACATCAAAATACAAGCCCTGACCGTGATTTGTAAAAACTCGATCCACTGCTGATTATTTGTGACACATCTATGTCTTTTTTTTTTTTTTTTTTTTGAGACAGAGAGAATGAGAGAGAGCACAGGAGAGGGGAAGAGTCAGAGGGAGAAGCAGGCTCCCCGCTGAGCAGGGAGCCCGATGTGGGACTCGATCCCGGGACTCCAGGATCATGACCTGAGCCCAAGGCAGTCGCTTAACCAACTGAGCCACCCAGGCGCCCCAAAAGGAGGATTTTAGAATAAAAATTTTCTTTTTAAAATGAAAATTTGACACATATACAGTAAAACA